GCAACTCCCCCGGGTTGAGATAAGAACAGTTTAGTAACTAAGGTATAACACAAATCACTACTGCTACCACCAATAATAACAATGATAAAGGAAATAACAAGGGAAGAGAATACAACACCTCACCACCAGCCAACTGATAACTCGCCCCCCCCCCCCCCCCCCCCCCCCCCCCCCCCCCCCCCCCCCAAGCCCGACCAAGCACCGACCCATACCTCCTCCAACCCTGCAGTCTCCCAGCCCTTCTGGGCATGACGTGCTGTGGTATGGAATACCTCTTTGGTCAGTTTGGGTCAGGTGTCCTGTCTCTGCTTCCTCCTGGCTTCCCCTCCTCCATGGCAGAGCATGAGGCTCACAAAGTCCTTGGCCAAACCAAAACATCATTGTTATCAGCTCTGTTCCCAGGCCGAAAGTCAAAACACTGCACTGCACCAGCTACCAAGGAGGAGAAAAATGACTGCTACTGCTGAACCCAGGACAGAAAGAAAGAGTAAATGTGATATATTTTTCACTTTTTCACTATGTGAAATGACTTCTATCATAAGTAACAAGATATGAACAGAGATTAAATGATACAAGACTGCTGATTCATTTTCAAACCATAAAGATGTATTAGTGGAGGGCTCGACACATCCCAGTGGATTTAGTATGATATTCAGTGTTGTCATGAGTCATTCAGAGGGTAGAGTGGAGAGCACGCTTAATAATTTCCCATTCAGCATCAAGCTGGGAGGACCTGAAAGCATTTTGGAGGACAGGATTAGAAATTAACAATTTTTTTGACAGATGGGAGAAATGGCCTGAATTAACCAGGAGTGTTTATGTGTTATCCTTCTGGCGTATTCAGCTTGTGTTAGATTTTGATTAGATGGGGAGAGTTCAAAGACAGCAGGAATGACCAGAGGCCTAGAAAGCATGGTCCACGAAGAAAAGTTGAAAAGTCTGGGCGGTCAGTCAGGGGTCAGGAGGTATAGGAACCTTCAAACATGTAAAATATTGATGCAGAGATGTAAGGAATAAATTGTTCTCCATTTCTGAAGGAAACAAGAACAAAATAATGAGCTTAAAATGATAGGAAGATTTAGAACAAACAGCAGAAAAAAAATTGCTAACTCTAAATCCTGGAATATATTGCCTGGAAATGCTAAGAATTCTCTCCATCACTAGAGAGTTTTACAAATAGGGCAGACAGATATTTGTCAGGAAGAATTTAGATACAGTTTATCTCATTTTGGATTAGGGGAATGGATCAGATGGCCTCGTAAGAGCTCTTTCATCTGAATTTTCTGATAGTTAACTGTTTTGGTTAACTGCTGAGTGTGGAAGGATTTTTTTCATAGGTCCTAGTCCCGTTTTATTCCTGAAAATAGTGCAGAGGATCTAGTGAAAATCTAGGTGAAAGACAAACTTGTCTTTTACCTCTAAGATTGGTATTTCTGTCACATCAAATGTGTGTGTGTGTGTGGAATGATAAAACATTGCTGTTGGTTGCGTGTCTATTGTAAACTTACTGAGCTATGGCACTTTTGGTATGATCTTGGAGAAATCCATAGACTGAGATTACAGTCACCTTAAATACTCATTGAGTATTATGTTTGAGTGGTTTGAACTTAGGAGCTCTATCATTCTTCTGGATATAAAGATTTATTGCACATATATAATGTGACACATATGAGACAGTTAAATTTATGTGGTCTATTCAATAAGAGTCTTATAATCCCATTGGTTTTAAAATAATATTTCAGTACTCAAATGGTTCCATCCAAATAGCACCACGAGATGTTACAAGGTCATGTGGATTCAGGTAGGATTTGTAATTTATCTTAAAAGCATGGTGGAAGACCTCATCTAAAGATGATCATTCGTAAGGCATGCATTATTGTTATCGTGGCATGGATGTCTTATGTTTACAGATATAACTAACAAACATACTGAAGTGATACAGATATTTCAGTGACTGTATTGTAGTGTTAAAAGATGCTGTTATGTACAAAAAACCTCTTCAAGTAACTGTTAGGGTTTTTTTAAGATTAAGCTCTTCAGCATAGGTAATGATCAGTACAGTGTATTTGTACTGAGGAACAGAATCATGAAGTCCCCACTGTAGCAGACATCTGGAGAACACCTAGGCCATCTCCCTTTTGAAGCAGGACTATTGGCAAAACGAGGTAGGCTCAACCACTGCTGTGTTTAGCCAAGTCTTGAAAACGTTGGTGGATTGAGATTCCACAGTCTCTCTGTCCAGGGCTACTCCACCTTCCTAGTGAAAAAGTGTTTATTTTTCATCTTCTAAGAATCTCCAGAGCTGCAGCTCTAGACCATTTCCCCTTGTTTTACCATGCAGCACTACTGAGAGAAGCTTGATTCCACCACCTTTTAACTCCTCTTCAAGTAGCGGCAGAGCTTTCTGAAAGTGTTTAATAAAAAAGGTTCTTTGTTTTGCTTGCCTGAAATTGTGAAAGATATTACATATGGCCACACACAAGACTTTTGTGCAGAATGGCTTCATTCAGGTCAACCTTGTCAGGCCACTAAAAAAGAAAAAAATTGGCAAGAGAGCTAAATTTGAACTCAAATAATAGATTGATATCTCAATTGGCAGCTATAGCCTTGTCATTGCAGTCTGTAAGAAACTCAGTAAAGCAAAATACTCTTATGAAGAAATTATACACTATGAGTTGATGTGGCTCTGCCCATTGAAAAAATCCTTCTTCCCTTTCTTTAGAGTGTGTGCACAGAAAAAATTGTGTGCTACAGCTACAGGAGGGGCTGAGTAGAACCTGCTGCATTTCTGGAGCACAGGGTCTAGCTGAAATGAGTCCCAAGTACTCTATATACCTCCTTTTCTCTGAGTGCTTTACAGTCCCTGGTGTAACATATGCACTTGGCATAGCATCCCCTTGCTGGATTGCTGTAAGTCTTAGACTCAGAAGTTCATACCAGCCCAAGTCCTTCTCCTCTAACGTACTTAGCTTGTGTTCTCTCACTCTCTGGCAGCTGCCAGAATGCTCTGGTTTCTACAGATGTTAGCTATTGACTCCAGCTTTCTTCAGCTAGAAATGAGATTCTTAGGTCCCTTTTATTCTGCCTGTTGCTAATTAGAAGTGGTAGCCCTTGCCTATTTGAAAGAAAACCATAAATAAAAATCATCAAGGGGGGAATGCTGTATAAATGTTTACAGAGAGCTTTCTTAAGACATAAATTAGCTGCAGATTTTAAGTGTATTACATCAAGCTGTGACCACCAAGGCAAAAAGGCATAGCTATAATTTTACTAAGTACAATAGCTTGTATTAATAATAATAAAATCTCATACAGGGTTAAGTGTCTTGTAGATTGTTGCCCTGGTTTGGAAGTGCATGTCTGCTTAACGATGATTATAGCATCACGCACTGTAATTCAGAACTGCAGGTTTCAGCAAAATAATTGGGTATGTGGGATAATGTAGAATTTGGATCCATCAGATGGCATAACATTTGCAACTTTTAGCACGTTTTTGAGTTACACATTTTGTAGATCAGGCACTGTTTACAGCTACATGAAATACGACTGCACACAATTATGAAATGGTGACTATAATCGTTCCCAGATGATCATAAGGCAGGATGTCATCTTAAGAAGAAAAGGTTTGTGTATGTTTTTTGGGGAGAGAGTGGGAAATAAGCAAATGATGGAAAAGAAGAAAGGAGAATTTTATGTGTCTGCTATAAGCAGGCACTGAGGAAGAAAGTGCTGCTCTTTTTTGCAGCAAACAGCTTTCTCTAAATGAGGAAAAAATGCAGTCTTTAAAAGTGCTTGTTATATCTGCCTGCACATTCTCGGTAGTAGATCATGGAATAAGTTTTGTTTAATATGCCCAGAGAAGGTTCTGAAAAATAAGTCATGTTACAGGCAGGATCGTGGGCTGTGATCTCGGAGCCTAGTCAGTTCTGCCAGCCCTGCTGAAAACATTTCCATGTGGTTGCACTGACAACTTTAGCACAGAAGAGAACTCTTTGATCTTTATTAATTTATGCAGTCAAGCGAGTAAAGGTTGCTGCACTTTTGTAAATATTTAAAAAGAAATACAGTTAAGACTGAAATTGGAGTTAAAAACAAGCTCATAACCTGGCTGGCATTTCTAGCTACTGCCATGAGAGATAGGCTTCAGAGGCAAGTGTTGGGACACATCTCAGGTTTTCCAAACCTTTCTCATTCTCTTTTTGATGACCTAGGATGTAGAATTTGGCCTTTGACCAGGGTTTAGAAAAGCACTCCTTGAAAGTCCTTATCATCGACAGAGACTGACGGCTAATCATGGATGGTTCTGTGCTGGAAAGCTGCATGACTTGTAAAGCCATTTTAAAAAAATACTCTTTTTCCCGTTCAGCATTTGAGATTTACTAAAACAGCAATTTCTTCTTCAGTGGCTTGAGTCTATCAGGCAATAACTAAACTGGGGAAGTGGATATATGAAAACATTTCCTGGTGAAGCATTCTAACTTACTTTCATATTCCTGTTAATTTGTTGCAGAAGGATAGGTTTGACATTGTCATCCATGATTTGTTCTATTTCGCAAAGCAGACATCTTGGACTTAGAGATACTGTCAAGTATTATTAACAAGAGCCAGACTGCTCTAAACTGTTAAATTTTAATGGATTTGCAAAGATAGGAACATAAGAAAATATGAATATGCATATAAAAAATGTTTGGGTTTTTTTTGTCTGTTTGCAGGCAGCTGTAGAAACAGTATGACAATGTGTGCATTACAGTAAAGGCTCTTAGTGTTTCTGATTCCAGTTCCGGTTCTCGTCAAAAAATACAGCATAACTGACAGTAATATGTTAGCTGGCCTGGCTTCTTGGAGTGATTTCATTCCTCTAATTATGACTCTGCCACAAGTGGCTTTGACATAACATTCAGCTGTATGTCTTTAGAGTAAACAGGAGGCATTAAGGCCTCTTCACCTTCATTAGTGTAACATAGAAACCTACTGGAAGATTTATGAGTGTCTTTGTTTCAGGGGACCATCCAAAACAGAAATTGTAATAGAGAATGAGGAAATGCAGCATCAAAAATGGCTGAATCTGCACTCAGACTGGAAGAATAAAAATGCATCGACTTTACATGCTCTTCTAGTGAATAGGTAAGTAATAGGTAAATGAGATCGGTTTCACTGATGTGGACAATAAATTATCAGTGGAGGATGATAAACTCCCTTTGACAAGCTCTTTTTTTCCGAAGGTATCCATGCATAAATCCCAGCACATAGAATCATAGAAACAAGGTGGTTGGTGACAGCCAGCATGGCTTCACTAAGGGGAAATCCTGCCTGACCAATTTGGTGGCCTTCTATAATGGGGCTACAGAACTGATGGACAGGGGTAGAGCAGCTGATGTCATCTACCTGGACTTGTGTAAAGCCTTCGACACTGTCCCACATGACATCCTTGTCTCTAAATTGGAGAGACATCAATTTGATGGATGGACCACTCGGTGGATAAAGAACTGGCTGGATGGCCACACACAGAGTTGTGGTCAATGCTCAGTGTCCGGCTGGAGACCAGTAACGAGTGGTGTCCCTCAGGGATCGGTGTTGGGACCACTCTTGTTCAACACCTTTGTCGCTGACATGGACAGTGGGATTGAGTGCGCCCTCAGCAAGTTTGCCGATGACACCAAGCTGTGTGGTTCGGTTGATACGCTGCAGGGAAGGAATGCCATCCAGAGGGACCTTGACACACTTGTGAGGTGGGCTGATGCCCTGCGGAGAAGGACTTGGGGGTGTTGGTTGATGAGAAAATGAACATGAGCCGGCTTCAGTGTGAGCTCGCGGCCCAGAAAGCCAACGGTATCCTGGGCTGCATCAAAAGGAGCATGACCAGCAGGTCGAAGGAGGTGATCCTGCCCCTCCACTCTGCTTTCATGAGACCTCACCTGGAGTATTGTGTGCAGTTCTGGTGTCCTCAACATAGAAAGGACATGGTTCTGTTGGAACAAGTCCAGAGGAGGGCCACGAGGACGATCAGGGGACTGGAGCACCTCCCATATGAAGACAGGCTGAGAAAGTTGGGGCTGTTCAGCTTGGAGAAGAGAAGGCTGTGTGGAGACCTCATAGCAGCCTTCCAGTATCTGAAGGGGGCCTATAGGGATGCTGGAGAGGGACTCTTCATTAGGGACAGTACTGATAGTACAAGGGGTAATGGGTTAAAACATAAACAGGGGAAGTTTAGATTGGATATAAGGAAGAAGTTCTTTACTGTGAGGGTTGTGAGGCACTGGAATGGGTTGCCCAAGGAGGTTGTGAATGCTCCATCCCCGGCGGTGTTCAAGGCCAGGTTGGACAGAGCCTTGGGTGACATGGTTTAGTGTGAGGAATCCCTGCCCATGGCAGGGGGCTTGGAACTAGATGATCTTAAGGTCCTTTCCAACCCTAACTATTCTATGATTCTATGATTCATTTAAATTCCTTTTTATTTCTTCATCTAGAAGAAGGTAATTACAGGATGGTGCCCGATACCTGAAAATCTTTTTTAACTCCTCTCCTTTCTCACTGTCTCTTTCCACTAGCCTAATGGTATCTAAATGCTTTTCTCCAGGTTAATACAAGAATAAACACATTGGCAAACGGAAAGGCAGCTCCACAGTCATTGTCTGTTCAGTCACCAAAGTACAAAGCAGAAATTTCAAGGTGCTTTGCTGTATTTGAGAGTGGTCTGCTAGGAAGTGTGTGTGAAGGGATGGATTTGGAGCCTCTGAGTTACAATATCTAGTAGCAGAAGATCTAGTTTCACCCAAAGTACAAGTTAAAGGAATAAAAAACATCAGTAATGAGTATTATTGATAAAGCTATTAAGACAGATTAAAGTAGTATGTAGGAATGTAGTATCTTCCAGTCTCCTTGAATCCAGAAAATGGGTAACACAAAGTGAGAAGCTAAGTGAAGAGTGAAGCTGGTTTTGGTTTGACTGCATCAGGCATCCTGCCTAAATGTCTCTCAGTGGTTGTGCATGTACTACAGGACAGGTACACCCCATACTTATCTCCCCATCATTCCACTGGAGGACCTGCAGGCCTGCTTCACTTATCATGTCCCTGGCTTGCTTTCTGGTATAAAGCAAGTTGCACAGGGGACAATATGTGTTTAGTCTCTTCTCAACATGAAGCCAAGACAGGACCAGGACCTGCAGTTCAGGTGTATTCATCTGGGTCAACTTCAGCATGTAAAACATCTGTGCTGTGGAGTATGTTGTATGTTTACAGGAGCTGTCAGGCTCCTGGACTCCTGGGAACTTGGGCAAGAACTAAGAAATGCACCAATAGTTTCACAACATTTTGATAAGAGGGAATGGCACAGTGAAGGCTATGCATACATATGAGATCGAAGTATTGAAGGTTTCTCTTTTAGAGCTGGCTACATGATAAGTCAAAAAAATGAGTGTGAAACATGAGTCTATATTATATTCTGTAAAATTTTTTATGGGGTGCAAATGCTCCTCAAAACTGTGCACAGAATTTTCTTCCCTGAAATTGGTTTTCTACCTCTAGAAACAGAATTTTATGTTCCATGTTTTCAGGAACAGGAAGTAGACTGCTTTGCGCAGTATATGACTGTGGCATGTGCAATGCAAGGGACAGAGGTCTGGTCAAATCACAGATTAAAACTCATCTGGTGAGCTTCTGGCACTCTTCTTGCGCCCACATTAGTATCTATGACTTAAATGAAGCCCTTCATAGGTGTTGAAATTCTAAAGATGCTGCCTACCTACTGAGATTACAGCCTTCAGTGAATTACCTGGGGGGCAGATAACGTGGGTATCCAGTCTAATTAGCTCTGCATCTGCCTCAGAAAAGCACATATACAAGTAGGAATGAAAGTGGTGGAAATCAAAAGGCAGTCAGCTGTTTGAGCAGCAATGCTCACTGTTTTACAAGGATGTCCCTTTGACAAAGAATCCCTTCTTTCCTCTCTTACATGAAAAAAAGTCTAACAGCAATGAGCATATTTGTTGTTGCAATACTTTTGCAAACTTCCTGTTTTTTCAAACTGCCCAAATGTTTAGGGTATGAAAGGTCATCTGTTATCAAAGGTATTTCAAAGACAATTCTATCCTTCAGCTGTAAGGAAGAGGAGAGGGGCAATTCCTGTGCTTTTAGGTGCCATTAAGTTAAGACTTGGCAGTCTGTACAACCCAGCTAACCTCAGAGCTGGGTCAGTGCCCAGAGGGTGAAGCAGTCTGCAGAACATGTAGCACCCACTCACAGAATGCATTGTAAAGCTGAACTAGTACTTTGCTTTACCTCCAGGAAGACACTGGAAATCACAGATGATCTGGCGTAAGAAGCTCTTTGTGTTTCTTTTTGCAGTTTGTGTGGTTTTTCACAGCTGGTTCACAACGAGTACTGAGTACCTGTGCTGATGTTCAAATTGACAAAAATTACATCCATTAATTGAAATTTCCACCATGTTTTTGTTTTAATATTTAGACAGATGTGTCGGAGCAGAAGCAAAGTGGCTCTCTTCTGCACTAAAGCAGGTAAGAGAGAAGTGCGTATAATACAAAGATGTTTTTCGAGATGTGCTAAATTACATTAACAAATACAAATGTTTAGTGTGGATTCATTCTGAAATTTGACTAGACTTCTGCAACATCCAGTTTTGCAGTGTTTTTTCCCCCTCTATGCTATTCTGTTTCATCAGCTTTTCTTCTTCTTTGACTAGAAGGCTATGTACTGCAGTCCTGCTCCCACAGAACAAATTTTGTCAGCAGTCAGGCTTCAAAAATTACCTTGATAAAACTTCATGCTGAGTGGTTAGCAGGCTATCTGCCTGGGAGCTGAAGCCATTTAGTGTGAAGCTCAAGGGGACAGGAGAATCTGAAGCAGAAAGCTGCAGACAAGTCTGTAGACGCAGCAGATTGTGCAAGTTTAAGTGGTTTGAAAATGCAGAAATTCTTCATCGTCAGTGAAATCCTGTCCTACAGACAGGGAGAGCTTTGTTGAAGAACACTTAAATTATGAATTAGCTTGACACAGGGAAAATTAATCACCAAGCATGACCTAAATATGGGAAACTAATCAAAACATTTACTACTTTGATCAGAAAAAGCCCCAACCCTTATATGAGCCTGTCAAAGGTGTCTGCTTCTGACATATGTTGCTTTAAGTACATTTAAAACCCATTTCCCTCTGAAGTTAAGTGAACACAGTAAGAATTACAGGTTACAAATAACCATTGCTCCTCCCTTGGGAGGCTGATTGCAGAAACAGGTAGTGTTCTTTTGATCTTTAAATCAGACCTAGTATAAACAGGATAAATAATGTCTGCTATCTTACAAATCCAGAATGTAAAGTGAAACAGAAGTGGAGGGCTATTTCAGAAAAGTAACTGTCTGGCAGATGGCAATCTGGTGTAATTTCCACTGGAAGTGGCTTATAGAGTACTGGAATGGCTTCAAATTTTCGTATCTCTTCCCTTAGTAATTTCCATAGGCCAAGCAAGATTGCTGCCATGTAGCTGAGTAAACAGTGTGACATTCACCTGACACCCGGCTTAAGAAAAGCCTTATTATTGCTGAGCAGATTTTCCAGAATCAGTTCTTCCGGATAGTACAGAGTAGCCCAGGCATGTTGCTAGCTGACAGAATGACAAGGACTTAAACCCAGGACACCTTCCTAAGGGCAGCCTGGTAATCCCTGACAGAAAGGAAGTCAGGATCCCAAGCTTAGCTTGGTTAATATTTCAGGCTGAGCTGGTTAAATTAGTATCAGGAGAGAAAATCCTTTGATATAGGAAGGATAAAAATGGCTCCGTGTGTTTGGTAGAAAGTGGGAGAAGGACTTCACACAAGGGCATGTAGGGATAGGACAAGGAGGAATGGATTTAAACTGAAAGAGGGTTAGGTTTAAATTAGATATTACAGAGAAACTCTTCCCTGTGAGGGTGGTGAGGCACTGGCACAGGTTGCCAAAGAAGCTGTGGCTGCCCCATCCCTGTCAGTGTCCAAGGCCAGGCTGGATGGATGGGGCTTTGAGAAACCTCGTCTAGTGGAAGGTGTCCCTGATCATGGCAGGGAGTTGGAACTGGATGATCTTGAAAGTCTCTTCCAACCCAAACCATATTATGATTCTGTGATATTATTGTGTGGTGGTTCAGTATTTAATGTTCTCTGTTATTCAGTGTAATTTCATGACTGTTAATATAATTGTGTCCACATTTTCCTTGTAGAAGGTCTTGTACATGCTGCCTTCATGGTAGCAATAGTAACTTTGTGGTAATTCCCTTCTGCGTCTGTTCCTCACTAGACTGTGGCCGTCGCCCAGCTGCTCGCATGAACAAGAGGATCCTCGGTGGTAGGACCAGTCGCCCAGGCCGATGGCCATGGCAATGCTCCCTGCAGAGTGAGCCAAGCGGACACATATGTGGCTGTGTTTTGATTGCGAAGAGATGGGTCTTGACAGTAGCACACTGCTTTGAAGGGTGAGAGGGCTCAGAGAGTTTTACTGTTCATATAAATTTGCACAAATGAATTAACCAAGTCCTCCCCCCTCTACCAAACACACTGGAGTAGGTAGTGACCTTTGTAGAATGGCAGTCAGGCAAATCGCGGAGGCCTGGTTTTAGGAGACTAAAACAAAGTGAATGCTATGGTGAGGCACTGGAATAGGTTGCCCAGGGAGGTTGTGAATGCTCCATCCCTGGCAGTGTTCAAGACCAGGTTGGACGAGGCCTTGGGTGATATGATTTAGCGTAAGGTGTCCCTGCCCATGGCAGGGGGGTTAGAACTAGATGATCTTAAGGTCCTTTCCAACCCTAACTATTCTATGATTCTATGATTCTTAAGCATTAGCTTAAGTTTTGACGTGCTTTATTATTCATTGCTGGCACCTCTACTAATGAAAGCTAAATGAAGATGCCCTGACTTTCATCAGGAAACAGGAAAATGAAGAACAAAACATTAATCCTATAGCTCTCATACAACTGCTATAGATTAAGAAAGTAATTCTGGACACCAGCATAGAAATAACCCTGGAAAAATGCTGTGGCCACTAGTTAGAAACTGGGTATTTACTTACAATGCAACTGACATATTGAAGTCACTGCCTTTTCTAGTTATAAAGACTCCACTCCTTTATTAGGGGTGCTGTCATTAAAAAGTCAGTATTAACTATTCAGTACCTCCTGGTATCTGAGGTCCTCTGGTGGATGGACAGTCTGGAGTGCAGAGGAAGTTTCCATGTCTTAGGAATTGTCTTGGTAATTGACACCTTTTCAGTGCTAACAAGCATTTAATTTTAATGAACTACAGATTTTGGAGCTAAGTTTATTACCTCCTTTCTTTTGTCTTATACTCAGTTGGGTTTCTAAAGATAGCCGAAATGTGTGTTTTCTGATGTAGTTAGCAAGTAGTTCTCTGCTAGGTGGTTGTCATCAGTGCTTAATCCTGCATTAAGCTGGTACTTGCTCATTGGAAATTATGTTAGACTACACTAAACGCCCTTCTTCCTGTTCAAGCCAGCAGAAATTCTGTGGTAAGCGTCTCATGACTGGTATTTCTTTAAAACATTAATCATCCCCCTTTTCAGAAATAATTTCAGTTTTGTCTTTATTTCTGAAACACTGAGCTCTTTGCTATTTGTTACCCCTCATTTAGGGCTATACAATACCTGTGTGAGCTCAGAGTGCGGCATGTTAAAGGTCTCTTTCACATTTGTGTTCCAAATGCCTTAAAGTACCAGGAGCCCAGGACAATGTTTTACTTTAATAATTCATTGAGGAGTTCTATGAACTTTTTTCTCTTCTGCCTCTCCAAATAAATTTGAGGCTACAGTCCTAGTGGCCTGAAATCTTTAAGTAAGTCCTGCATTTGTATAGCTTGATACAGCAAGGGCAATATCATTCTTGATGTCATGAAGCTTTCTTGATACACAGTATTTAAATAGTCACCAAACCAACCAGGTAAGCCAACAGTTAAAGCAGATTTTAAAGTGCTCCAGTACTTCAGACAAAATGTTTCATTTTGTGAAGCATTTTATGAAGTTCGTGTGAGGTTTGGGATACAAAGTATGAGAAGCATATAACTATAATGCAGCAGAAAGTATTAATGCAAATACTCATGAATACTTGTAGAGGGCATAAATGGAAAGAGCTACATGAAACATCATGTCCTTTGCTAGTTTATTAGTACAGTCCCCAGAGTTTTGTCAAGATTGACTTGAAATGCATTACACCAAAGCATCCAAGGCATTAAGGTCTTTTACTTGACTGTAAGGTCTTTTACTTGTGCCTTCTAGCTGTGACTAGCTCATTGCTCTGAGCAGTGATTTTTTTACAGTGTTCATAACCACAGTAGTAAGTGAATATTATTAGCACTTGATCTTGGAACTTTAGGGAAAAACTCACTAACTGATCATGATGGTGAAATGATCATTTTAGTCTGAAATATCAGAATTTTCATGCAGCTCTTAAGATAATGCAAAAATACCCTTTTTAGCAGCCAAATCTCTTTACAAATTATAGAAATTACAGTCCTGCTGAGCATTGTGAAAAGCTGAAATTTTGCATGCTTTGATTTACACTGCTTTGAGGAAGCGTCAATCTTGTCAAAGGAGCTTAGTTACATGGAACTGTATTTCATCAGGTATGAAAAATGCTGACTTTGGAGGGGTTTTAGAATCACAGACTAATTAGAAACCTGTGCCTTATCCTGTGACCAGTTATGATCAAGAGATTACACCCCCAAAGCCTTTTGTAAAGTCTATGTGTTTCTTGTGTATATCAACAGACACTCACTCAGACTTCCCACTTGTATCATGTGCATCATTTTTTTGTGATCTTGTATGTTTAGCAAAAAAATCCTAAGAGCTGTAGGAGTCAGAGCAACCTTCGATGCAAGGCATAGGAAGTATGCTTGGCACAGATTGAATGCCCAATAAATAAGGGACTTGTCCCATGGCTATTGTAAAAGAGGTAATTCTTGTAATAGCATTGCTTCTTTGAGACTCTTTGGGATTCCAGCGAGACTCATGGCTGTCAGCAGCTCACTACTGAACAGTGCTGTCACCCCAGTGAAACTTGTACATGCCCACCAGTGAGTATGGGAGCACCAAAGACCTGGGCAGGCTCCAAGAAATGATTTTGAGAGCCTTTGGCATAATACACCAACTAATTGGTGGTCACATGTCTTCTGAAGGTATGAGCTTTAATTTGGTAACAGACAAGAAGGAAATGGAAAGCATTGCATTTTGTTGCTCAGATTTTAGCTGTAAGTAATGATGCCTAAGGATTTGTTTTTTCTTGTAGTATTTTATGTATAATTGTTTACAAAGTGTAATCTGCAAAATGTCAGGAAGAAAAAATTATTGGGTATTTTAGTTTAAAAGAATGCTCTTGTTTGATTACAATTCCCCAAGTTTTCTTTTCTTTTCAAAGGAGAGAAAATGCAGCTGTTTGGAAAGTAGTGTTTGGGATTAGCAATCTTGATCACCCATCAGTCTTCATGCAGACCCGACTAGTGAAGACCATTATCCTCCATCCACGCTACAACCGAGCAGTGGTAGACTATGATATCAGCGTCGTGGAACTAGATGAGGACGTCAATGAGACAAGCTATGTAAGACCTGTCTGTTTACCTAGCAAGGACCAGCTGGTTCGGCCAGATACCTACTGCTACATCACAGGCTGGGGACACATGGGCAACAAAAGTAAGTTGAATATTTCTGGGACCCTTGGAAAAATATGTGAACCTTCTACTGAATTAATCAAATAAGCGATCCTATTACAAAGCTTTATCCATGTATATTATTACTGGGCCTTATTAAATACTAGGGAACTGTAACTACTCATGGAGGGATCTAGCTGTGACTAGAGCCTAGCTTTTTCAAACCAGCAGCTTGAATTTATGCTCTTTAATCCTTACTTAGACAAGTGGATTGATTTAAAAAAACACTGAGGCTCTAGAAACTCTTATCAAGAAAGTCACCTGAATTGGTTGTTTTACTGGTTTAGGTTGTATTAGGAACTGTACTGAGAAGGGGGGAGGGGACATTCTTAGTTCAGTGAAAGTGGAATGCACTGGAAACACTGGCAAGCAGGCTGAGTGAAAATCTCCCTGAATCAAAAGGCATAATCACAAGTGCTGGTTTTGTCTCTCCAAACAGAACATTAGTGTGTTTTCTTGTTCTGTGCCCACTGCAATCCTTGGGTCCCATGGCAAGAGCAGATGTTGCTATCACAGAATCACTGACTGGTTTGGGCTGGAAGGGACTTTAAAGCTCATCCAGTTCCAACCCCCTTGCCATGGGCAGGGACACCTTTCACTAGACCAGGTTGCTCATTTAGACAAAATGTTTCTGAATGAATCATGTAAATCATCCTGGCCGCAGCCCTATTAACGCTTTAGCCATTGTTTCTTCCTTCACCAGTAACTACAAGGGAAGGTTGTTGTTCTGTACACTGGAGAGGGAAATTTTCCTTTCAGAATTGCTTCAGGTGGGACTTCACCTCAAGTGGCCAGGCCAGACATATGGCAAAAATTAAATTGCACGTGTGAGGGATAGGCCATTTACTAGCAGTTCCACCCATCTAAAAGTAGATGGTTACACAGCATTTAGTATTTCATGCAGTAAGTAGAACAACTTTCCTTAGAATTTGAGCTCTGTCAGCTGTTTACACCATGAAGAAGTCAATTTACTGTGTCCTGAATGCACTAAAATCATATCAATGACCTTTGAATTCCGATTCCCTGATGTACTAAGTCAAATTTACACAAACATAACTCAGCTATCTCAAAGAACCATTGTAACTAAGTATCTGTGTGTTTATGTGGGTATAGTTTAATGCTTAATTCTGTTTTCCAGTGCCTTTCAAGCTTCAAGAAGGAGAAGTTCGCATCATTTCCTTAGAACAATGCCAGTCATACTTCGACATGAAAACCATCACCAGCAGGATGCTGTGTGCTGGCTACGAGTCTGGCACTGTGGACTCTTGCATGGTAGGAGAAACTAACAGCCAAAAAATTGCTTTTAGAAATCAAAGTACTGTGATGTTTACTAGGTATAGCATACTTTAGCTACTACAGGAATCACAACTGCCTATTTACAGATTTTAACCCAACTTTCATTATCATTGATGCAGTAGTCAGCTTCAGTTTATGATAATGAAATGCTGCTTGATGACTCTTGAAGGTTTATCTGTATTCCTTAACTATTATATTAATTTTTAATTTTAATTTCTTTTGTTATTTTAATGAGCCTTCTGCAGGTAATTTTTTGTATAAATAGAACAGGGAATAAATACTGGTATCACTGTGTGCTGCTGGTATCACATAAAATCATAGAACAGTTAGGACTGGAAAGGACCTTAAGATCACCTAGTTCCAATTCCCCTGCCATGGGCAGGGATGCCTCACTAGACAGTATTGCCCAAGACCGTCCAGCAGAGCAGCCAGTTTTTTCAGCTGAGGTACTTACTAAAGGCAAATTGCTGTGGGAACCAAGAGAGCTTTAACCATGACTGCTGGCCACGTGTAGCCTCTGTAAACTTTATCTTTCTTTCACGTTGCAGGGTGACAGTGGAGGACCACTTGTGTGTGAGCAACCTGCAGGGCGCTGGACTTTGTTTGGTTTAACATCCTGGGGCTCTGTCTGCTTTTCCAAAGTTTTGGGACCTGGAGTTTACAGTAATGTGTCACATTTTATTGAGTGGATTGAAAGACAAATATACATCCACACCTTTCTGCTAAACTAACTTCAGATGGTAAGAATTGTGCTGACAGACAAAGAAAAACAGGAATCAGCACTTCAACAGTGAAGATTTTGCAGTCCAGAAACTCATGAAATAGAGTTTCAAGCTTTATCTATTCTTCTTGTGGAGGTATGGAGTACACAGTGTATGTTAATGGTAAACCCTCTGCTGGTGAATATACTCTGGGGTAAAATTAACAATCCTTTTGACTTCTCTTTTAACTGTGTTGTGGTGCTATTCCAAACACAGCAAAAGGCTTAAAAGAATCAGCCACTTTCTGCCTTTCAGCTATTCAAACTAAGCAGTAGCACAGACTAGAAAAACCTTTTTAAATAACCTATTTTAATACTATTCAAGTAGCATATGAATTTTCACTCACTTGTCATGAGAAATGAACTCTGTGCATTCAGATGGGACACTTATTCACAAGGGCCACACTGGGCATGGCCATGCCACATGCTGGAGGGTGTGGAAGAGGTCGACAAGTTTGTGCATCCATGTGGCACAGACACATCAAGGTACACTTACCAGTCTCCACAGATGTGCAGCCATGTGTTCCTGGTGTGTCTGAGTTAAAGCATTCTGTCCCTGCACCATCTTCTGTTCACAGAGCCAGCCTGGGCGTCTGCAGGGAGACAGATGGACGAGTACAACAGACCTGTAACTACCACCTGAGACCACAGCTCAGCTCTTGAGACTCTTTGGACAGTTTCTATCCCTTCATTTTCTGATGCTTCCAATGTCTTGATATGTCCAAGAACCACTCATGTCTTGACAGCATGACACCTTTGTCAGATCTGTGCCCCACTTGTTTTTCCTTCATTTTGTATCATGTGTTCAGCATATAAAGTATGCATTGACCATCTCCAGCCTTCTAAAAACATAACAGAGTTGTCAATGCCACTGCAATGGTTTCCCCTCCCACAGTAAGCTAGTTTGAACACCTGGTGCAATATGGGAAATGCAGCTTTCAGTACAGCAAAAGATGCAGTGTGACCAGTACCCCAAGTACTGGGAAACTGGGTATTTTTTGATAGGTCTCTTATAGTATCTTGCATTGAAAGTTTCATTTTGCTTAGCAAGACTAAATAACTGGAAGGGCAGAAAAATCTGAATGACAGAAGACTTGGATTGCAGCTTCTAGTCAAATGAGTATTAGACACTAAGCAAAATACAGCAGCTCACATGCTTGGCAGCCAGATAGTGGACCACTCTGTGGTAGTTAAGAGGCTGGGCCTTGACTCCGAGAGAGTCTGGTTCAAAAATGTTTAAATGGAGCTTGGCACCTCTTCATGGTGCCTAGTGGGGAAGCGTGTCTACCATCTGCTGCAGGTGCTGTCCTGCACAGCACTCAGCTTTTGAGAAACCAGAGCAGGAGGAGTCAGGACCCAGAATTACAGGGTAAATTCCACCAGGACTAACATGTTTAAAATCTGTGTGTTTAGTGCTGTGCCCAGCCTGCTGTGAATCCTGATTAAGGCATGTAACCACTCTCTCTGCCACCTCTGGTACACCCCCACGAAAACATGATGGGAACTTATCAATACCATGACTGCTGTATGTGGAAACATGCATTAAAAAAGCTCAGTAACAGACATTTCAGGTACTATTAATCATGTTACAACTAATATATAGAACTATCTTCTCCTTTAACATGCTTTAACGTTAGACAGACTAGACAACATTAATATTCAATAACTATGCTATGGATTCTGAACCTCTTTTTAAGTGACTATTGTATCACTGTTTCATGCACAGAAAGAAAACCCTTCCAGGCTTTGCTAGGTTTGGGTCTTTTTTATGATACATTAAGGACTTTGTTTTACTATAATATATAAATGATCTTTTTCCCCAGCTGTAAATGAGAGAAGGAAGGTATGACCATGTTTTTCCAATGCAAGTAGATTACAGATGAAACAGGTTATTGACACCCTTTCCTCAAGGACATGGAAGCTGGAGCTCTCACTCCCCACTTCAGCTTTTCTCTGGGGCAGGACCTCTGCAGCTGTAGGGCAGCACAGACCAAAGTCCCAGAGCCAGTTACTGAGAGATACCAGGAGAGGTTGCCCAGAGGCTGTCAGAGCCAGCCTGTCCATCTGTCCGTCTGATGTGTCTGGTGACAGGTTTCAGCAAGGTCTGTTTTCCAGAAAACAAAGACATGCTTCTGTGAAATGGACAGCCCAGCCCTCAGCTCTCCACCAGCTGACATAGTTAGCAGCTTTGAATTCTGTGAAGCAAATCACTGAATCCATCTCATCATTTCACGTAGACATAAGTGCTACCAAACGATAATATGTAATTACACATTTTTATTGACTGGGTTTGGCCTGCCACCACTTTCCAAGCAGTCCCTCCCAGGAAATGAGATTGCTTCCACCTATGGTCTAGCCCCCTCCTGGTAAGGGATCAGTCTGAAGACTCATCGCAAATGGCTTCAGGATGGAGCAGTTGGGTCTTGTCCTTCCCCACAACCATCTCTGACATAACATTCCATGTAAAGAAGAAATTTGTAATTTTATAAATGTATTTTTATACTGCTTTTTTTATGTGTGCACACGAAATAGGCAAACATAGCCCTCCTTCCCCTGTACCTGTGTGCTGACTTGACGGCTATCATCACAACTATGCTGTTCCTCTTTTAAGTGTAGCCTCAGCGTAAGGTAACAGGTGTTGGCTTTACTTCTAACATGCAATGTCACAGTCAAGCAAATGTGGTTTTTTTTCTAGCTGTACTAATAAAAATTTACAGTAATTTTCCCAAAACCTTCTCTGTTGAAAGTGTGTTTCAATCTCAAGAGAGAGACTCAACACTCATATGGTGTGAAGTTACAACTTTAGCAAGAGTGCCTAAAAATAGTCTTTAAAAGTTATTTGCATGCCCTTATCTAGCTTTTTTAAGCAGCTCTGACAGCCCCATTGGCACTACAAGACTTGTGGAGATTCTGGCACTACCACCACTATACAACTTCTAGTTTCATCTGCATGTGTGCTTCTAATACAGAGCATTATCAATAATACTGCTGCCAACAACTACTCTGGATTGAAAAATCTAAAATAAAACTGAAAATGCAGTCAAATTTCTCTGAACACATTTTGTTCTATGGCTTTCCTCAAGAATACAATTAGTTTGAAATAACCATCTCATTTTAACTGGGATCCAGCATTTTAAGGGCATGTGCTGAAATCAAAATACTAAGCATGCAGAAACTTAAAATAATAGTTAAAATTTGCCTTTTCACTGCAGTCAACAGTAAGGCATCCAGGACCAGGAGGGTAAGAGTAACATAACCAAACAATACAAAACCCATACTGAAATTCAGCTATGAGAACATTCAGAACTTGGCCGCTGGCCTCTACAGAAAGGAGGGCTGGGCTGGCCAGTGTCAGCGCCAGGTCCAGCAGGAGGAGTAGCTGGTCCACACTGTTTGGTCCTCAGCCCCATGCTTGGCCCTTGGGGCTGAGGGGAAAGACACAGCTTGGGTCAAACATTCAGCTCCGTCTATGCCCCAGGTACAGACCAAAGCTCACTGTGCTGCAAAGACGCTCTATAAAGGTGGTGGCTTCCTGCCACGTGCAAATGGCGTGGCTGCTGTGAAAAAAAAAGTAAAAAAATCATTCTGTAATTCAAATACTGCACATCAAAAAATTAGTTAAAGCTGCTCCAGGTGTAGCTACAAGGTTTGGCAGAGCTGAACATGATTGGTTTACTTTAAGCTGACAAAAGTGTAAATGCTGTACTTTCTTTCACATCTGGAAGGCACCTGTGAGATGATCTTAAAAAGCCTGTTTTCAAAATGGAAAAGTCAGGTCATGCTGTGCCAAAGTGCAGAAGCCAGCAGGGGAGCCTCATGTCTCCAGTGCTAAAAAGAAATAAAGGAAACAACATTCAGCTGCTGAGAAGCAAAGGGAGAGTGATCTGCCTTCACTCTTCACTTGGCCCTTTGGATATGGTCAGTTACCATTGTGAAGCTTTCAACTGAAGACTCGCAACCCTCATCTCCCTTTCAGTGAAAAACAGCAAGGGATCACGGCAGAGATTCTGTGTTAGAGATTTCTGCTGTTTGTCCACACAGAAACAAAAAAGGAAAAAAAGACTGGGTTTTACACAACAGATAATGTCAGCACTTAGACTGTTTGTCAAAGTCCTCTAAAGAAACACAGCCTATAGCAGACAAGTTTAAGCAACACACACCATCAGTGAAACAACATAACCAGGAAAAATAGAATGTGTGCATGTTATCTTGGACCACTTCAAGTGGTACCACAGTACTCACTTATAACCTCAGCACAGGTTGGATTTGAAGTTTCAAGGTAACCTGCAGGGTCTGGCATGCTCAACATACAGATGGAATGATCTTTCATCCAATTCCAGAACCCATTGCAGAAGCTCCACAACACCAAGCAGTGAGCAGGGGGTGATTAGGTTTGTAGAAGCCACAGAATAGCAATTCAAGTGTCCCAGAGGCATCATGCAGTCAGTCAGCCCCATATCCAACAGGTGACTGTCACGTTTCTTGGGCAGGTATTTCAATGCCATGGCTTACACTCACAGAAGATTCTGGAAGATGGTACTTGCAATGGTTACAGCTTTTGTGTGACACACATGCAACCTCCTGAGGCTAAACGATCAGATACCTGCCAAATCCACTGGCAGGTTCTGCTCCTGCAGCAGAGGCAGTCACAGGCCAGTGCTGTCCCCCACACTCCTTTTTACAGTGGCAGATGGAGAAGTGGAGCCCTGTGGTCCCTCAGCTCACTGCAAGTCCTTGAGCTACTCCTTGAGAGCTCAGCATGCCTCAGTCATAGACTTGTAAAACCACAGAATAGAATAACCTGTTCTCTGTGGCCACAGGTGAAGAAAGCCCATAGATTTAAGGCACAAAAAAACATGCAGGTGAGGCAACAGAAACAAAACCAGTATTTGACTTTGAGGGCAGGAGAGCACTGGCCTGGCCTGCTTCTCTGGAGCTCTTTACAACAGGAGAACATCTGCTGGCAACAATAAGGGCAAAGCTGAGCCTGTGTGGGGCTGTGGAGCAGAGGACTTCACTGAGTCTGTTTGTGTGTGATTCTGCCCTTGTACCGTCTCCCTGTGCAACCTGCTGACTATTTTGCATCTTCCTCTTGGACACCTCACAAGTCCCCATAGCTTGCAGAGCAAGCCAAGATGTTTTACTTGGGACACCTGGAGCCCACTCCTGGCACACTGCCCCCACAGCAAGAAGGAGGCTACAGACAAACATCTGAAAATCGTAACTGCAAACCAACAAGCTCCACATGATCTTAGAATTTGAATGCCTGCCATCACTTCAAAGGTCCCCACTAACCTTCTGCTACATGTTACAGAAAAT